GCAGAACAGGCAGATCGACGAAGTACACTGCTGAGGGGAGCAGCGGGCGGGTCAGGAGAGGTCTACCACGCCATGTGGTCACCTCCGGGCAGGCGGGGGCTCGAACTCATGTGGAAGCGGCTTTAGATTCTCAGTGCTGTGTTTTAACCCGCTGCGCCACCAGGGAGGGCCTATTAAAGTTTTTTTAAAAGATAAAATCTTGACTTTAAAATACCAACCCTTATTAACTTGCTCCATACAAATTCAGCTCTGGATTGTACAGGCAACGTGTGAGAGCAGAGCAGTTTAAAACACTATTCCCCCTTACCACGTTTAATTATGACAATTTTCAAACTGACATATTGGAAAGTTATTTTTAAAATTCATATATCTAGCTCAACTAACTTTTGCCTGATAGTTTATGCATATATTCATCCTTCTATTTATCAATCTTTTATTTTTTGATGCATTCAAAGGTGCAGACACAGTGCACTTTGCCCTAAATACTTTAGCAAGACTATATCCTAAAGTTCAATATTTGTTTTCTTTCTTCTCTCATTCACAGTCAGTATCTGCCTACTCAAAAAGAGGCAACCTTAATTCAGGTATTTTTTTCACCACACTTTTGTTTTTGCTAGAATTTAACATGAATTATATAGTGTAAACTCCTTTTAAAGTTTCTCTCAGCTTGTCTTTGAGACCATTCATTTGTTGCATGTGTCAGCAGTTAGTTCCTTTTTTTGAGTAGCAATTTATTATAGTAATGCTCCACAATTTATCCATTTTTCTGTGGGACACTAGCTGTTTCCATTTATTGGCTAACGTTAGTAAAGCCTGAAGATTCTTGTGTTTGTCTTTGGGGACATGTATTTTCATTTCTCATGGACAAATCATTAGGAATGAGTTTCTTTGAGCTTTATCACAAGAAAGTACACCTGCTAGAGCTTGGCCTCTGAGAGTGAAATGTGAAAGCTCATACAGTGTCAACAAAGCAAAACAAATTGAAAAACAGTGTCAAGAAGAACACACTGTTAAGGAGGCGTAGTCACTTAATAGGTTACAGATTCAAAGTTTATACCTTCAAGAAAAAACCTTTGGCTTTCATTACCTTTATCAAGAGATGCCCCAGCCATATGATAGAAGCTCAATGCAGTGTCCACATCATTAATATTCTTTAGGAAAGTAAAGAAGTTCTCCACCTCCTGAAATGTCAGACCCTAAAAGGAGAGCAATAATAGCAAGGTAAAGTAGGAACCTGTGATAAAAAGCAGCACAAAATTCAGAAAACTAGGCAGTTATTTATGTGTATAAACAAGATATTTATACTTTGTCTAGAACAGAGACTGAATCAATTAATTAAGGAACCTCAAAATTATCTGTAACAGGGTTTCCCTGAGAAAGGTAAGTTGGCTAAGTGTTTCCCTTCATGTGTAAAATTTGACATGGATATCTTTTTTTTTTTTTTTTAAGATTTATTTATTCATTCATACAGCCAGAGATGGGGATGGTGAGAGGATTCACTGGAGACAGAGTGGGGTGCAGAACAGGCAGCTCGACGAAGTACACTGCTTGGGGGAGCAGTGGGCGGGTCAGGAGAGGTCTGCGTCACCATGTGGGTCACCTCTGGGGCAGGCAGGGATCGAACTCATGCGGAAGTGGCTTAAGCTTCTTTGTTCTGTTCTTTAACCCGCTGTATCACCAAGGAGGGTCCTGACATGGATATATTTAATAAAAATATTTCTAACTGTGCTCTTTAATTAGTTGAAATATCTACTGTGACATTTCCAAAATGACCTATAGCTATTGATCTATTATACAACTAAACAAGTAAGACTAGAGTCAGGAATTCCATCTTAGTAATCTACTCAAAGACAAACTTTTTTTTTTTTTTAAGGTTTATGTAACTAAAGAATCACCAAAGCAGTAATATACAGATATAGGGGGAAAGTTTCAGAACTTCACAGCAGCTATTCATTATTTTAATTTAAAAGCTAGTAACAAAGCAATTTGCAACATAAGTGGAATCTGATGAAATTCTGTGAATGAAGAATTAATATTTTCAAAAGCTGGTCAAAGAATTGCTGCTGTCTAGTTCACTTTCTATTATGGCTTTAGAGAAAGTAGTTGTTAATTAGGGACTACAGGAAATTTCACTTATAGGGAGAAAGTTTTGTCTATTACCTACGCTCCATATATCATGACTTGAGAGAAAGGAGTACAATTTCTAAGACCATATATCATGACTTGAGAGAAAGGAGTACAATTTCTAAGATGTGAGTAATACTGGGGAGATGACTCTTCATGAAGCATTAAGTTCTTAATAGATTGTAGATATTGCATGGCTTCTACTTATTTCTACTCCACCTTTGATTGATATTTTCCCTAAACTACACTGCCCAGCAATCCCCAGAACTCAAGACTTATTACAGACGATCTATAATTTCTTTCTGGTCCTCTTTAAACTGGGTCAAAATTATCTTTCTCATCAATTAACCTAAGAGCTAAAATATGTATGATTTTGTCACAAGATATTTTATAATTCTTTCTCCTACCATGGAATCATATAACTTAAAAAATCTTATTGTAGAAAATGATACCCATACAAAAAGGTAAAGAAATATAAATACAATTTAACAAACTGCTGTAAAACAACGCCCGTATGGTCCCTATTCAGATCAAGAAACAGACTATTATCTGAAGCCTTCCTTCCTTCGGCAACATGGTCCTTCCCAATCACAATCTCTCCTTCTCTCCAGTAGTAATCACTATTTTAAAATTTTAGGGGATTCAGTTCCTTGCCTTGAAAAAAACAGCATTACTTTCTTCTTATATATCTCAACACAAACAGTAACTTAATTATGACTGTTTTTTGAACACAAATATAAACATATATTTGATTATATGTAGTTTCTTTTAAGATTTGTTCACATTTTAATGTATGAATGTCTTAGGTCACTCATTTTTATTGTTTTATATATACATGTACATATACATATACATATTCCATTGTGTGAATATACCATAGTTTATTATTCCTTCTACTTGGGTTGCTTCCAGTTTTGGGCAACTATATAGAGTGGTGCATCTATAAGCATTCATTGAAACACTTATGTAGTAATTACTATGTACCAAATTCTGTAATTTTAGGCAGTGAACTAGAAGTGCTTATTAAATATCTTTCTCTGACTTGAGGTCATCCTCTTGATCTTGCTTTAGGGGATCCAGAAGTGACATTCATTCTTTCTAAGATACTTCGGAATGCCATTTAATGTAAGTACTAGGGTAGAATCAACCTTAAGAGAAGAATCCCACTGGGGCAGAAGAACAGGTTCTACAATGTCACCTGCTTGTAGATGGATATATATATCATTTTCCCTTCCCTTCTATCAGAAGAACATGCAAAGCTGGAAACAACTCAAGTGGGTTTGTTTCAGATGAATAGATAACAAAATGAAGTATATATAGAGAACGGAATATTATTAGGCCTTTGAAAGGCAAGGGATTTTGACACAAAGTACAATATGACTAAACCTTGATGACCTCATACCAAGTGAAAGTCAATAACAAAAGGACAATATAGTATTTATGTGAAGTATCTAGAATAAATTCATAGAGACAGAAAGAATGATGGTGCAGGAGGAAGGGGAGAATGGGAAATTACTGTTTAATGGATACAGAATTTTATTTTTGGAAGATGAAAAAAGTTCTGGAGAAGGATGGAGATAATGGTTATACAACACTATGAATACCACTGAACAATATACTTAAAAATGGGTAAGTTGGTAAAATTTGTTATATATTTTTAAATCACAATTAAAAAAAGAAATGTGAAATGTTATTTACATTGTTTTTAAGGTCTGGATTTCAATAGGCAAAGGAAAGCACAGAGATCTGAGTTATTCAAAGGGTTTTAAAAGACTAAAATGTTATTGTAAATTTCATAAAATAGAAAGGACATGGCAGAGGAAATGTTCCTACTCTGATAAACAATCTCTAATGTTTGTTAACTTACCATGGAACATTAAACGTTACAAGTTCAAGACTAGTGTGCTAGAAATTATTTGAGCGCAGAGAGACACAAGAATTTGAATGGAGCTATTCATTCTATCATTTAGAAAAACAGTGAAATAAAAGTCATATTATGTCATTATTAAATCAAATTATAAACACTTTGCTTTTACTACATAGACAAAATAAAAAATATTTATTAAACCATTCGGCACTATGCCAAAACAGTGAGGGAATAAAACTGCATTGGATTTGAGCCTTGCTATTACAGAGCTTTCTAATTTAGACAGGCGTTCTTGAAAGAAGTCAGCTACAGTATTCTTATTTCTTGGTAACTACCCTTGTTAAAAAATTCAGAAGGTTATAATTAGAAGAAAGCTAGATGAAGATTTAACATGAGGTTTGTGCTGGTAAAAGGGAGAGTGGAAAGAAGGACATACTTGTTGCAAGTTAAACTGTTCAGATTAGAAACTAGAACCTTTGCACAATCTGTTTACAGGTTACTTGTTCTGCAAGGCAGGAGTCAAAAGGAAATATCCTTCTCTTGGTCTTGGAATTGACACAAATAGAGATATTGCAGAAAGGAGTTCTTTTATTCTGCAACCAACTGTGCAACAAATTGGTTATCAATTTACCTTTGGAACGATGGGCTTACATAAAACTAGGTTCCAGCTAACTAAAAAAGAAGATAAAATTAGTAATACTTTGTGGACAGTATAATCACTTCATGTTCTTAAAAATGAATTTAATAGGCTCTCCCTGGTGGTGCAGCGGGTTAAAGCACTGCACTAAGAAGCTTAAGCCAATTCCTCATGAGTTCAATCCCCGCCTGCCCCGGAGGAGATCCACATGGCTGGCAGACCTCTCCTGACCTGCCCGCTGCTCTCTTCAGCAGTGTACTTCGTCCATCTTCCTGTTCTGCTCCCCACTCTGTTCCTGGTAAACTCTCTCACACTCCGCATCTTTGGCCTGTACCCCAGTTCTGTATGAATAAATAAATAAATCTTTATAAAAAATGAATTTAATATTAAGAATTTGTTAAATAAGGAAACAGAATTGTCTTTCCAATTAAAAAGCAAATGCTATAATGTTTAGGGAAAAAAACAGAAAATCTTCCTTACTGTGAGAGAAGCAACGACTCTTAGGTAAAACACAAAATGTACTATTTATAAAAGACAATTTCTGATTAATCTTAACAAAATTGAAAACTTTACTGCTTCAAGATACTGAGAAAACAGGCAGATCAGAGACTAAGAAAATAATAAAAATCACACCTTTAGTAAAGGGTTTAAAATTAAAAATTCTTTTTCTTATTTATTTTTTCACATCATTGTTCATTTTGTACATTTTTCCATCTCAATTGTAGTCCCTGTGGGCTTCCTACCCGTGTGCCATCACTGTAGTCCTGTGCCCTCTTCCCACCCCAATGTTTATCCCATTCCCTTTCCACTCCATACCATGTCTCTGGTTTACAGTTCGTTGTTCTCATTTTCACTTTATTACATTTGCTTCTCTCTTTTATCCCCTCTATCCCTTACACTCCTGTTATGAATGAAGCCATTCAATATTTTTCTTTCAGGCTTACAAAGTTTTTAAAAATTAAAAAAATTTTAAACAGACATTTTACCAACACGGTACATGAATGGCTAATAAGCATATGAATGATGTTCAGGATCATCAGTCATTAGGAAAAAGCAAACTAAATTCATGAGATACCACTACACAACTATTAAAATAAATGTAATAAATAAGAAAGATGACAACAAATGATGAAGATGTGGAGAAAATGGAAATCTCATACACTGCTGTGGAAATGTATGTTTCATTCTTACTGTGCTTACCTACACTATGGAAAAGGTTTGGCAGGAATCTCAGGAGGGATGAAAACACAGGTCCACATAAAGACTTGTGTGCAAATATTCACTGCAATATTATTGATAACAACCAAAAAATTGGAAACAATTTAAATGTTTATCAACTGGTGAATTGGGTAAACAAACGTAGTATATCCATACAATGGAATACTATTTATTATTCATCAATAAACAGCAATACACCCTCAACATAAATATTAGTAAGCAACAACATATGCTACAAGTAAAAATAAAAAATCAGACATAAAACATTATCATATTATTGCATTTATATGTAATGTCTGGAAAGGAAAATCTACAGAGACAGATTTATGGTTGTCTGGGGTTAGGGTAGAAATGGGAGTTGGCTGCAAACTAGAATGAGGAATTTTTTGGGGTGATGAAAATATTGTAAAACTGAAGTGATGATCACACAACTATAAATTTACTCAGTATCATTGAATTGTACACTTAGAATGGGAGAGTTTGTGTTATATAAATTTTACCTCAATAAATCTGTTAAAAATAAAAAGCAGTTGGAGTAGATCAGAAAAGGGAAAAGAAAATTTAGCTTCCTCTGGAGTCAGCTGTGAAATCAGATATCTAGTGCTGGCAGGCCACGGATGAGTGCAAAGACACTGTAATGAATGAGTCCCTGGCTTGTTTTTTAATCAGCCACAGCAAATCCATCTCTCAGGAATCTATTGCTCAAATTCTCTGTAAGACCCACTGAAAAAATAAAAGTCTCTGTCCTTCCTTATATGCTATGCTTCTCACTAATCTTATCTATTATCTGCTCAAGCTCCTGTTTAGTGTTTTAGAAGTTTTAATTATTTTTACACTTGGTAATACATGAATATGGTGCAAAATAGAGAGTACAATGCAATTGTTCCTTTACCCTTCTAGTCTCCGTTCCTACAGGTCTCATACAGAGTTGAGAGACTTGTCTTACATTATAGTTATTTATTTAATACATATCTCCTTCTACTAGGAATATTAAGTTAGGGCAGAGACCATGCTTACTGTATTTCCAACATTTGCAAGAGTGCTTGGCACATAGTGGGTATTCAATAAATACTGAATATGAACAGGAAATTATATAGTTCATGGTATACTTTTTTTTTTTTTTTTAAACTAGACTACTACAGACTATGTATTTCTTGAAGCTAGGTAATGAGGTTTTTATCTTTTATTTTTCTTAGTTTAGTCTTGTACATAGCATTGTCTATTACTGAACAGAACTGTAATTTTCACTTCATCCTTACATGGACTTGTTAAATTATTAAAATTAGCAGTTTCTGTATTCTATCATAGAGCATTACCACTGTGAATTACATTTGAGATGTGTCAGGAAATTGTTTCTCTTAGAGAACTACCATTTGATGAATGAAAAGTAAAATTTTAAATCAGAGTCAGATTTGATTTAGAATAATTCAGAGGAGAAAAGACATTGGGGGAGGATGGAGAAAATATGGTAGAGGCTAGGGATGTTTAAAATAAAGCCAAAATAAACATGTTCCCCATTTAAAAAAGAAAGAAAACTGACTTTACCAATAATAAATATGGCAGTTATTCACATCATGGATAATTTTTCTAGGCATGGCAGGTTCCCCGATTCCTCAAGCTATTATTACTAAGAAACAAAATAGCTAGGGACACTGATGGAACATGGTCCATCCAGAACAGTGGCTAACCAGTTTAACTGCACATTAGAATTACCTGGGGAGCTTTTAAAGAAACAATGATACCTGGATCTACCCAGTGGGTTTCTGATTTAATTTGAAGGGACCTCTAAAAAAATCACAGTCCTTAGAAAGTCCCCAAGTCGGGGAGGGAAATGCACTGGACTATGGTGATGGCACATGGGTGATTTGGCGATGGGAAGCCCAAAGGGATTACAACTGAGATGGAAAAATGCACAAAATTATGTAAAAATAAACTATTATATATATATAAAAAAAAGTCCCCAGGTGATCCTATTGAGTGACCCAGATTGAGAAAAACTTCTTTAGAGGAAGTGGATAGTTAAATGAAATAGCACTTTATTATGGAAAGGGCAAAATCTGGAATAGGAAGCCTTGTAGTCCAGACTGGGTGCATTACTAATTTCTCTTTCTGTCAGATTCTATATTCTAAAAGGCAAAATAAGATCTAACAAGCTGTTGAAAGACAAAAGAAGAAAAATGGCTATGAAGCACTGCCTGAACATTAAGTAATATGGAAATATTTGTTTAATGCCTTCACTAGGCCGGATCTTCAGTCTTTTAGGTCTGGTTTGATATCTTGACAGAACCCTACATAGAAATGATTAACATGGGTGAAATGTAAACTCATGTTTTCATTTAATAAATCCAAAGTGGAATAAAAGAAGCAATCAAAAAGCAGTTGGTGATCTCCCTTTAATGAGAAATGGTACTAGAGAGATGGACTGACCACCTTAGGAGGAAAGGCCCTTGATTAACTCTCATTTTAGTTAATTGCTATGTTCACAAACTATTTAATCAACATGAGAGGACAATCAATCTCAATCTCCTTGCTAAAACAGGTTAGAAATTCTGGGCAAGAAGTAATTTAGCTCTCCAGATTTTTATCATCTGACAAAATTTGTCCTTTCACTTTAGCATTTCTTCAAATTATAAATTAACTCCTGCCAATGCAAAAATATTGCTTCAAGGAATAGAGAATGTCTCCTATACTCAATTTGTTTTTAAATATAAATTTACAATATTCATGAGTTAGCCTAGCATGATAATTAAGGTCAAATCAGTGTCTGAACCAAACTTCAAAAATAAGTCTGACTTAGGAAAAAATGACAAAACTAAGCTGGAGACATTCAGCAGGGGAAGGGGAGGAAGGGGGATTAAAACAAGAGTGGGAAGAGCATAAGAGACTATGGTGATGGTTCACGGGTGACTTTGGTGGTAGGAATTTTATGGGGACTGCACCTGAGAGGGGAAATCAAACATTGTACAAAAATGAATAATGATGTAATGTATTTATGTATAATGATGTATACACACACACGTATAATGTATATATATATAAACATGTATATATGAGATGTATTATGGTATATGTGTGTAGTATAATGTATATATATACATGATATATTATGTGTGCGTGTGTATTTAAAAAATTAATTTGATCTAAAGGAAGGAATATTCCTTAATGTAAACACTTGCAACACAGGAATAAAAATATACCTGAACATTTGCAATTAATTTTCTGAAATTACAATTTCCAACAGATAAGCTGGGTAGCAGGTAGTAGTGTCAAAGTGCTCTCTGGGAGAGAACTACTGTCCTCTGTCACTTTCTGCAAATGATGAGTCTCCCCTACAACTAGAGGAATACCTTGTAGGGAGCGGCTAGACTGAATTCAGTGAAGATACCACTTTTTCCCAGAGCCCAGCCTGCCCTCACTTTCAGTTCACAGCTTGGTTTAATATTAATTGCATGAACAAGAAACCTGGGGTGATCTGGACTTTGACTTTTTCCTCAAGTAGAAGATGAGTTAGTTATAGAGATGAATTAGTTATAATCCTTAGTTCATCATATACTCTTTGTAATAGCTGTTTGTTCCTATAGTTTCTTTTCTTCCACAGGTAAAGATACCTACCTTTCCATCTTTGAAGTGCTTCTTAAGCTGCTTTTGCATGGCAGTCAACTTTTTGGACTGCACTCCACTGTAGGCCAGCAGCATGCCACCAAACTGCCGTTCAGTAATTCTCCCATCCACAGGGTCATGGCGTTCAAACTGGATAGGAAATATAAAAAGTGTTCTTGCAGTCAAATGGAAAGTTTTTGACATGAAATGTAGCATAATTAACTGTGTTAGATGGCAAAACATAGTTGATGGTCAAGGCTGTATTTTCAAACTATAATTTTCAGAAAACTTTGAAAAAATTAATCAGAAATAGAAGACCTAAATTTTTATTTGAGCTCTGCTACTAACTACTTATATATGATATCAGGGAAATCACACAATTATTCTGGGCCTCAGTTTCTACATGGATAAAACAGTGCTGCTCTAACAGACATATGTTCCAAGCCAAAGTCAAAACTCTCTTCTAACTCATGAGTAATAGTAGTATTATAGGTGTTCTGGACCATTCATATCCCCTTTACTAAGAGAAAACTTAACACTGAATTATCATCAATTTGATCAATCATACATTTGTAAAGTCATATCATATGTACTTAGTATAAAGTCATGTACTCAGTATTGTTATATATTTGAACCTTTAAGGATTTCAAAGGGTATGGCATTTTCAAGTTTTCCCCAAAAGGTAAACTAAGTTCTAGAAAATCAGTAGAACTTGGGAAAAAAGCTTAGTTATCACAAATCATTAAAATACTTTAAAATTATTAAATATATTTAAATATACAGATGGAAAGGTTAAGAATAAAGACCTCTAGTTAATCTAAATAACACCAGAAAATTGAGATTTACATTTAAAATGGAGAGAAGAATGCTGTTTCATTTCCAGCTGCAGTGTTAATGATACTTACAAATGCATCCACAAGATGACTAAAAATTAGCCCAGAAACCAATTAGAAAACAAAATGATCTGAAGATAAAATTTCTCTATGGGTTTAATGGAACATAATAGGAAATTCAGATTTCTATATGGCAGGGCATAATTCTGTTCTTAATAAGGGGTATATATAGATGAGAGACATTGCTAAATAAGGTCAAAACAATAAATGTTTCCTGAAGGTCTAACAGTTGTTGGCACTTGTGTTGGTCATTGTGGGTTAAGGGAAAGAAGATCCCATTTCTATTCTCAGGGCTTTCATCTTCTATTAATGGGTAAGAATTTCCTAAGAAATAAAATAAAAATAAGTGTGTATTTAAGAGGAAAATTTTTTTTTTTCAATTTTCATTTCCTAAGTTAGTTTGCTAAAAAGATATACACCTTAACTTAATTCCTCACTGGTGACATTTAAGAGTTATATTTTAACAACAGCAACCATCAACTAGCAAGTACTATTGGTCAGATACTTCACCCATAAGTTTGTTCATATAATCACTATAACAATCCTATGGAATAGATATTATTAGTATGATTTTATAGGTGAGAAAACTAAGGTAACTTAAAGTTGCATGAGGCAGAGCTGGAATTCAAATTCAGCTCTGTGTGGATTTAATGAAATATATTTCAATTTCACTGAGTAGTAGTACATATGTATCCCGTAAGAGAGCACTGTACTTATTTTGGATAAGCTTATGCAGTCATGGACTTAGTTATATTTAAGTGAGAAGCAAAACTATTTCCAACAATATCAGCATTATCAATTTTAAATGAAGGCCTCTTTTTTAACGTCAACCATTCAACATTTCACGTTCTACAGAGTTAATTTTTGACAGCACCAAAAGTTTTCAGGGTTCAATTTAAAACTGATTTAAGGTTCAACTTACCATCCTGAAACAAAATGGAAGACTAATAAAAGTTTTGCAAAGGGGTACACTTCCACAATGTTTCAATCAGATTTTTAGTGAAATGGGGGAAAAAGTTGGAGATGCCTAGTTTGTCTGTGGGAGGTGAAACAAAACTGGTCCTTGCTCTTCATGCTAGTCTTTAATAATTTAGCATTCAGCTTGTTCTTATCCTGGAGATTTCATAGATGCAGAGAAATCCCATGTATTTCAATTAGATGAGGTTTAAGTGTTATCCTACAAGATTGATTCAATTTCTTTTCATAATGTAGGTGGCAGCAGCAGCAGCAACTAGCTCAGGACTTAAGAAAGGTCTGTATTCCTCTGTTTTCCAAAGGGCCTTAAAACCCACCTTTGTTCTTCAGTTATTTCAAAGACTGTGAAGTCAATTTCCAGTGGAGATCCCCAAAGTAACCATGTTCCAGTTAAAATTAGTGTTACAGTGTTGAAATTAGCATTTTTTGAAAAGTTTGAAAACTTTTGGTAATGTGTTCTATTATTGTTATTTTGATGTGAGTGGAACCTGGAAGGGCTTAAAAATGATGAAAGTGAGCACGATGACCCACTTTAATGTTTACTACTAACTGTAATTTGCACCTCTGGTCCATCTTCAGTTGGCTGCCTTATTTCTGAGGTCTTTTAACATGACTGGAAGAGGAAAGAGAGAGCTGTCACTCTCAACACAAAAATGTTAATGGAAACCGACTTGAACTAAAGTGTAATTCATTCAATGCTTACTGACTGACAACCAACTATGCTAAGGTTAGGGAGCTTCCAGAGTAGTTTCTAAAGGACCTCCTTTGGGGATAAATTTTCAAGGGTAATCATTAGATATCACACATTACTAGAGCTGAAGCGTGAAGCCTCCAAAACCCAGTGGGTATGTTATGGATCACCATGTGAATGAAAACCTCACTGTCCTAACAGGCTTTTTTTTTTTTTTCCAAAGGGGCATGGGGGAAGACATAAGTCATTACAAAATTAACACAACGCAGAAAGCTTTTAATGGGATCTCTGGAAACAATTCAAGTGACTGACTTGCATTTTACTTAGCCAAACACTGTCCTACATCAATGACAATTAAGACGTTCCATTCTATTTGATCCTGTCCCACAGAAAATGTGTGCATCTCTGCATACTGCCCACTATTTGCACTGCTTTTGTGTCCAGTGGGACAGCTGAGAGGCCCCATTTTCTCTTCTGCAGCCACTGTCACTTTCTCAAATGTACACAAGCTGCTGGCTTCCTGTTCCCCAGGAGGCTGCAGGACAGGAAGATATTAAGGAGACTATGAATTTTGGCTTTAGATTAGCAAGGTCTGGATTAGAATTTTGGCTTGAACACATATTTACTGTTATGACATTAGACTCTAAGGATTCAAAATATACATTACAAAAGAATGGAGACAATATTCACAAGCTGAAAGTGCTGTATATAGTGAGATAACACATACTCGCACACACAGAAATTAGCAGACTTTGGTACACAGTATTCAATAAATAAGGCAATTAATACTTTTATTACCATGGTGTCATTTTCCAGGAAGCTAAGTCCTTACACTGGCCATATATAACTAGACAGAAAACTAGAATAAAGGAGATGCTCAATAAAAATTAAGAGAATTCCCTATTGCGGAGAGGATTACTTTACCACGCCTCCCTTAATATCTACTCCCATCACAGGGGTTTATGTAAGGATACTTTTGAGAAAGTCATTCATTATAGCTATTCAGTAACATATTTGAGTGCTTGCTACCAGCTAGGTGCTGTCTTAGGAACTTCACTGTATGAAATCCTTACAACATTCTACTACAGGTATTTATTCTATTTTATAGATAAGAAAACACAAGCACAGAGAAGTTAAGCAACTAACCCACACAGTTTATCTAGGAAGAAATTTCTCTCTGGTCTCAATCAAAATAGTTAATTTATTCTTATCTTTAAGGTACCATGAACCATTTTTCCTTTTTTATCCTAACTTTGGAAGCTTACAGTCAAGTATATAGTGCCACTCTAATAAGGAGATTCTTATGATTTATATTTTCCATAATAACCTCACTCTTGACTTTCTCTTGATCTCTTTTTTCTTCTTTCTCTCATTTTTAGCAAGTTTTGATTTACCTCTATTTTATTAAATTTATTTTAAAGAATTTCTTAAATCCTTTCTTGAACAAGGCAATATATTTTAAAAAAAATGATGAAACAGCTAGGGGAAAAATCCTAGTTGCCCCCCAAATTTCAAGGGTATAAATCTGTGGACTCTACAAGGAAGCTCCATTTGCTCCTTCACATGAGTTATAAACAAAATTTCTCAATTTACATAACTAAGGGAAATAATAAAAATAGATAATCAACAAGCACACAGGAGGATGCAGATAAAATAGGCAATGCTATTATTCTGTAGGCCAAAATAATTTGTACTCAGTATCTGAAACTATCCTAGAATGATAAATGAGGTGAGGATGGCAGGTACATTTACTTATCCATGTGAAAACCACAAAATCTATCAGTAAAGTTTTCCTTCTTCTGTCATTTGGTATAATAAAACTACCATATCATCGTTTTTCATAAAATTCAAGTCACAGTAGATGACAAAAAATCATTATAGTCTCACTTTAGTCCATTAGGAAAATGAGAATAGTTTCATAAAAATGCAGAGATTCACCCATCTAGATTAGAAGTCAAAACAGTAGGATCTATATCCATCTGAAGGGTCTTTTTGTTGGCCTTTACTCACTAAAATTCTAGTGTGGCAGCCTCTGAAAAATCTTTTATGCAGTACCATACCTAGGCTCTGTTCTGTCTTCCAAAGGGTTAGGGTATTCTTCCTGCTTCCACATCAGAAGTCTTGATTATTTAGGGAATATAAATGAAGTTAGCACTACAGTAGCAAGAATATAGGATTGGGTTTGATTTTTCTTGGTGACTTACCAAAAGCAAACACTTAGAAAATCTACTTATCTTTTCCAAAACTTCTTTCCCTCATCAGTAAAATGGGTATAACAACAACAGTACTTTCCTCTGGAAATTATTGTGAGTGTTAAATTACATATTGCACATGAAGCAAGCAACCTGAGTTAATCTTTTCTAATGTGTATATAATTTTTTACATTTTAGTGCCTCTGAAATCAATATGCTTCTTAAAATTGCTATCAGCTAGAGCATCAGTTATGATGGCAACAATGCCTTTACAACCACATCAAAGATTCCAAGTCAGTGACTTGGAAGGAATTCCAAGTAATAGTGTATTTCTTTAAAAAATACTCTTGATGATTCAGAGGACAATACAGTATGGAAAAACATAGATGCTCATGATTC